TACTTTTATCTTTCTTTGTGAAAAGCTGTTCTTAATTGATTCTTTTGAATTTGAAATATCAGTTAAAACTCATGTTAAACATGAAAAAACACAGAAATAAAATAAAAAATGTTGTTAATATTAGTTTATGCGCGCAATTTAATACTCCCCAATCTGTTCTGTGTACAGTTTGAAATATTGGAGGATTTTATGACCCCTATCCAAAACCCTGTAAGTGGTGTCCATTGAAAAAAATGAACATTTTCGACGATAAAAGATTTATCGAAGAAGGGTGGGGAAAATTCTTTGAATCTACCGGGTATATAAAGTTTTATGGACAGGGATGATAATTTTTCTTTTTTCCCGGTATTCATTTTTTTGTGACTTTTTTCAGTCATAATCAATTTTCCCTAATGAGACAAATTTTGGGTGTAGCAGACCCAGTTTAGGAATATGTCTAAAGATAATTTTGTATTTATCCCTCCTGTGTTTTTATATGCATTCCAGGGGGGGGGTTAGTATATATGTAGTTATACACATGTATACATACGTTATATGAGTACAAACTACATTCTTAAATGTGATCATGGGGGGGGNTATAAACGTAAACACATGTCAACAAATTTTGTTTGATGGGGGCTTTTTTTAATATTTTAACTGATTCCGGATAATACGATTGATTGAGTTCTTTTTAGGGTTCGTGAAATGTTATCTGTGCACAACATTGGACAGCGACTGTTTGCAAAATATGTGCTGGGACTATCCCAGGGAACTGTTAGTGAACTTCTCTCTAAACCTAAATCTTGGGATAAACTGACAGAGAAGGGAAGAGACTCATACAGGTAGAGTCTCTTTTTATATAATTGGTGTTAAAACGATCGGTTCCACATTTTTCGGGGCGACCTTGACTGATAGACGCTCAAAATAAAAAATTTTCGCCCCAAGTTTCCGAATTCTGAAAATTCTCCAGAAAATAGAATTTTAAAAAAAATTCAAAAAAGGTTTTGCAATTCACAAAGATTACCCCAAAATGAAAAGCAAATTCTCAAATTTGTATCTTGATTTATTTAAAATTGTATTTTAGAAAGATGCATGCTTGGGTTTGGGATGACCAAGCAATTCTCCTTCTTAAAACTCTGATCCCAAGAAAAGGAGAACTCCTAAGATCTGCATCTTCAAAACAAGGTGAATATTTACAACAAAAAATTAAGTGAATGTTTACTAATTTTGACTAAACAATTTGAATATTTTCAAAAAAATTTAAGAGAATGTTTTTGATTATGTCAAAACAATACTTTAAAGGAATTGATTACTAATTACGACAAAGCAATGAACATTTACAAAGATTAAAGGAATTGATTACTAATTACGACAAAACAATGAACTTTTACAAATATTAAAAGAATTGATTACTAATTACGAAGAAGCAATAAACATTTACAAAGATTAAAGGGATTGTTCGCTTATTACGACAAAACAATAAACATTTACAAAAAAGGGAATGTTAACTAATTACGACAAAACAATGAACATTTACAAAGATTTTTTTCTCTCAAACACTCCCTTTACTTGGCGAGGATCCTGGCCTTTGTTAATCACTTGTTTGTCTAGAAGTTGAGGACAGATCTGAGGATAGAATTAATAAAATTCTCAGCGAGGTCAATAAATCCTCCTCGGACCAGATTCACAAACCAATCTTTCCACACATGGATCATCCTAACGTACATGCAGGTATATATTATGAAGTTCTTCTGGCTGCAGCACCCTACCCCCTCCATCAATAAAAAATGACTCTTTCCTTTGGGATTTCCAAAAATTTCATTTGGCCTCGTACAGTACCGTTTTGCCTTATAAAGTCTGTATGTGTACTGTACTGCTTACCCTAGCTAATTGAAATTCGGCCCGGTACATATAATAAACTGGAATGTACCCTGTATTAATCAAATGCATTAATCAATGAATCAATGAAAAAATCAATAAATTGATTAATCATTAATGTTTATATCAATCAGTCAAGTTATAAGTCAGTCAATCATTATGTCAATCTTTCAGTTTATTAAATCAATCTTTGAATCCCTGTATTTCAGGATACATTATACGTAATGCCATCAATGTACCAATCAATTAATCAATCATTCAATTAATTAATAACTTCTTGTATGTAAGTGCTTATTGGACTATAATAATTCCAAATATTGTTCAATATAAATAATGCCATAAATGAACCAATCAATGAACGAATGAAGGAATCAATCCATGAATCAACAAATCATTCAATTGATAACTTCTTGCATTTTATTTCTAACTGGACTAAAATTATATCAAATACTGTCAATTTTTTAAATATTACAATCAATGAATGAATCAATGAAAGAATCATTAAATCAATCGATCATTAAATTGTTAAATCATTAAATTATTTTATCAATCAATCATACAATTAATAAATTCTTTTATCTCAGGATTACTTTTACCTGGACTTCCCGCCCCTGAAGAACTAAAGATGGCGTTATCCTTCTACCAAGCAGAACTACAGAGAAATAGAACTCAAGAGATGAAAGCAGAGGCAGCAGAGGCAGAAAGGTATTAAAGTAGAAGAGGTGGGGGGCTAGGTCCCCCCCCCCCATCCTCCACTGTATTTATTTTCGCCCTATCGCCTAAGATTGAAAAATAATTTTTGAATGCATAAGGTATCAGATTGTAATTAAAAAAATAGCCAAATATTTTTGTATTCATTCTAAAATGCTTTATAATGACATCTAATAGACACAACAGTACTGAAGGTCGTCATTCTATTTCACAATTTAATAGGTTTCACTTTATGATGTCAGGTTATGTTCAACGTTGTTTGATATTTATCTAAAAGTTTTGGTCTACCGTCTATAGACAATAAACTGGAATCGTATTTACACCTAATCCGTTTAAACGATACAGCACACACAATACAAACTTATATTAAACATGGGGAGAACTGGGGAGGGGGGTCTATCTATCTGTCTATCTGTCTATACGTCTATCTTTCTATCTATCTATCTATCTATATATTTATCTATCTAGGTATAACATGGAAAAGTTTGCTGGGCAACCAATAGATACTCTAGCTGACTCAAGAAGGTAAAATTTCTATCAAAAAATGTCTAGGTTTACATAAATGGACTTTTCTATTTCTATTAATAAATTTCTCTGTTAATATCCATCTATTAGTTTCTATCAATAAAATTTCTCTGTTTCTATCTATTTGTCTGTTTTTATCAACACATTTCTCTGTTTCTATTTATTTATCTCTTTGTATCAACATATTTCTCTGTTTCTATCAATAAATTTCTCTGTTATTTTCTATCTCTCTGTTTATATCCATCTTTTATTTTCTATCTCTCTGTTTATATCCATCTTTTATTTTCTATCTCTCTGTTTATATCCATCTTGTATTTTCTATCTCTCGGTTTTTCTCCAAACACTTTCTCTGTTTCTATCTATCTGTTTCTATCTATTTATCTGTTTTTATCTATCTATCTGTTTCTATCTGTTTTTATGTATTTATTTATCTATCTATCTGTTTCTATCAATAAATTTGCCTATTTATTCTCGTTTAAAGGGTATTCACGCATGTGTGCAAATCTAGTCTATAAAACGATCTATTAACCCTATCCCCGCTGGGGTACTTGAAAACCAGGATACGCTGGGGGGGGGTCAATTTGACCCCCCCCTCTAAATCCCATGTTTTATGTCCAAATATGAAAAATGATACATCATTAGAAAGCTCTTGTGCTCTACTTTTATAATCTGCAAAAAAATTTGCAAATTTGCGAAAGGGGGGTATTTTATTGCTAATATCACCATATCCTGGCTTAAGCCTACCTCAATTCTCAAATTTTCCCCATCTTGTTTATAGTGTTTTAGCGCACTTTTCGTTCTTTCATTATTTCATCTAGTTAATGTTTTAAGTGTACAGTGTACCGTGTACAATATAGTGTACAGTGTACAATACAGTGTATAATACGGTGTACAATACAGTGTACAATGTACAGTGTAAAATACTGTGTACAATACAGTGTACAGTGTACAGTACAGTGTACAGTGTACAATACAGTGTACAGTGTACAATACAGTGTACAGTGTACAATACAGTTTACAGTGTACAATACAGTGCAGTGTACATTGCACAATACAGTTTACGGTGTACAATACATTGTAACGTGTACACTACAGTGTACAATGTACAATACAGTGTACAGTGTGTAATACAGTGTACAGTGTACACAATTCGAATTATATCGATTGTAAACAAACAACAATTAGTAAACTATGATTGCTCAGGCCAAGGCTTTGTTTACAATATTTGTTATTGTTTACCAAATACGTCGCCTTTTTTCATTGAATAAATTCTTTCATTTTTTATAAATTTTTTTTTAAAAGGGAAAGTTTACGGGAAGAAAAAGAAAACCAGGAGAAGGATGAGAAACCTGTTCATCCCTTCTCCCTTCTTCACGCTAAACTAGATCAGGGTCTCCTGGGTATCCGACCCCAGCTCCAGGTCAACCAACAGCAGTTGTTCCCCCCTGGATTCTCAGTAGATAGTCCTCTGCAACGTATGGCGAGTATCACTAACTCTCTTGTCTCCCAACCCCTTCCTTCGCCTAACTTTGGACAGAGACCCTTGAAAGCTGTTTTACCACCGATAACTCAGCAGCAGGTAAATACTCAGGTACTTTATAGATACTTTATGTACCTGCCAGTCGGGGTTATAATTAATAGTCCACTTTACCATCCCGTATGCAGGTTTTAAAGATTTTTTAAAATGGTATTTTGTTTAGTTTGATATGTTCTCTCACTTGAACACTGACGATGTTGTGCGGCGCATCAAAGAAATCTTATCCCAGTATTCTATCAGCCAGAGACTCTTCGGGGAGGCCGTTTTAGGGCTGTCCCAGGTAAAAATATTTTAGGGCTGTCCCAGGTAAAAATATTTAAAAGGAATTGTCAACGAATTTTAAAAGACTTTTTGTTTATTAGACTCTTGTCAGTTCACAAACCCTATTTTTGAAATTCAACTTCATGGTCTTTCCCTGAAAGGCTGAAATTCTACAGTTAAAATATAAATATTCCAGGGAAGCGTATCAGATCTTCTAGCGCGACCTAAGCCCTGGCATATGCTGACCCAGAAAGGACGAGAACCGTTTATCAGAATGAAACTGTTTCTAGGTAAGTTCAAGCAAAATATCCAGGACCGAATTTATGAATTTGAGCTAGGTTGTTGAACTACTTACCGTCGATTCAAAAACGTATCTGTAGTTCTGTAGAGCGGTTTTGGCATGGAGAAATCCTAAATCCCCGATTCATGATAATTGGTTGAACTGCCTTTAGATCTGGCTCAATTTTTTTAAATCCGGTCCCAGAGGTCGAAACTTTTGATTGGTCAATCTCTTCAGAAAGCACTTATCCCTATCTTTGTAGTATATGGATTAGTTCTCTGCAGGTGACAGAAATATGATTCAGTTGTTTTTTGTCAAAGTTTTGTAGATTAAGTTTACACTTCTATTCATTACAATATAAAGATTTACATTGTGGATATCGATTTACCACTCCTGTATGCCGAGTCCACTATAGCGCCTGATCCAATCAGGGTTCATTAATGTGTTTGTTGTTTATTCTGAACCAATAGAAATAGTATGGTGGTAACATGTATCTATCTATCTATCTATCTATCTATAATATATATATATAAATAAAATTATGTATATATATATATATATATATATATCTAGCTATATAGCAATATATCCATCTATTCATCTATATATATATATCTATCTAACTATCTAGCTATCTAGCTATCTAGCTATCTATCTATTTATCTATCTATCTCTCTATCTATAATTATGTTTATTTATCTTGATTTTTGTTAGATGACGACACAGCTATTCATAAACTGGTTGCTAGTCAATACATCTATCTATCTATTTATCTATCTATCTATCTATCTATAATTATTTTTATTTATCTTGATTGTTGTTAGATGACGACACAGCTATTCATAAACTGGTTGCTAGTCAATACAAGATCTTACCAGATAAACTACTCAGAACTGGACCATACTCAGGAGCACCAAGTAAGCACATTTTAAAAAAAGGGGACTATGGAAGATATTTAAGGAACTATCTATTTAAAGAGTGTAATATCCGATTTACAAAGTGAAAAAACTGTCGATTTTGTCTGGTCAACAAATCATTATTTTCAATTGCTTTTGCCCTGTAAAATTGACTTGTAGAGAAATGCAGCAAAGACAGTGAAGGAATTTGTGAGAATTCCACACTTTTTAAGAAAGAAAAACAATGAAATCTTCCTTAATTTTCTTTGAAAATGGTTTAAAGGGTGCCGTTATGAATTAGGATTCCACTTTATAAATGGAGGGTTACTTTTAAAATACGCCAATAGTCCCTTTAAGGTCTAGATTTGAGTTGGCCTTGGAGAAGGGGGNTCATTTTATCTTCTATTCACTCCCTCATTTATCTTCTATTAATTTAAAATTCAGTGATGGTGATGGACCAAACCTCTGTAGAGTAAAAAAGTCCTATCTTCTATTCACTCCCTCATTTTATATTCTATTCACTCCCACATTTATCTTCTATTCACTCCCTCATTTATCTTCTATTCACTCCCTCATTTTATCTTCTATTTCTCTTTCATTTTTTTTCATTTTCTCCCTTATTTTTGATTCTTCATATTATCTTTTATTTTCTTCTTTACAATCTTTAATTTTAGTTAAAACAATGTTTACTTTTTCATACCTTGGATGCTAGCTATTGGAGTACATACTATTGGAGTACTAGTACATACTATTGGAGTACATACTATTTTAATACGAATTTCATACATGTATGACACAAGATAGCTGTGTATTGAAAAAACTGGATAAGCAAAAAGTTAAAAGAACTGTAAAGGGATGGGTCATTTGTCTGAAAACCCCCCGCCCCCATTACACACTAAATGAACCTTTCATGAACCCCTCATGAACCTCCTATGAAACCCACATAAACCCCTCATGAACCCCTCATGAACCTCTCATTAACCCCTCATGAGCCCCTCATGAACCCCTCATGAACATCTCATGAACCCTTCACCAATTTGCCTCAAATTTTGATTACATTACTTGTTAGATTTTGAAATAAAAGGGTGTACCTACTTTAGTTATAGCAATGCCTCCATGGCACCTTTTAAACATACATCATGAAACTTTAGGTATTTATAACAAAATTTATGGATTTTTTTATAAATTTTGTGAAAATTGTTCATTTCTTGATTCTTATTTCGGTTTTCTTACTCTAGATATAGCAATGCCTCCATGGCAGCTTTTCAACTCTACAGAAAGTTTAGGTATTTATATAAAGATATTAAATTAACCCTATTCCTTCTGGCCTATCCGTTACCCCGTGGGAGGGGGGGGGGGAGGCTGCACCCTGTGTTGCCATTTCATTGCAAAACTTTTTTACATTTCCTAAATTTTTTTGTTAAGAAAAGTTTTTTGAATGGAGGGGAAGTTGTGCAAAATATGTTGAAATTTATTTTTGTGGGTCAATATTTGTACAGTCAAAAAATCGTTAGGCCTGAAGGAAAAGTGTAAAATACTTTTTTTTCATTTTTCTGCCATGGGGAGCAAGCATAAACATGGAGTAATTCAACCACATTTTGTAAAATAAGAAAACCTTTCTTTTAAATTTAAATTTTAACAAAATTTGAAAATAGAGCGGAGCTTTCTGTTCCTCTCTTGTAGATCTTCGCATTCTAATCCTTGTAGACAAAAAATCACTAATTCTTGATGTTAGATGTTAATATTCTTGTTGTTTAGCTCCGATGTCTGGAAAGCTGACAACCTCCCATCCTCAGTTCCGAGGTATTCCCGATCTACCAGCTCTCATTCCAAATCCAGGTAAACAATTTATTTTCAAATTATGAAAAAACTTAACCAAATAGTTTCTAGTACAATAGATGGCAACGTAGAATTTGTACACTCGCAGTACAGTTGTATTCTGACGTCACAAGTGTCAATTCAGTTTGTGTGTTATTATTAATAGTGATAATTTTGAATAAAGTGCTTATATTACATTAAAATAAGTGCAATTTTATGTGTTATTTATTTTGTGTTTTTACACTTTTTATTTAATTTTGGAAAACCTGTCAACTGATGTGAGAAAATTTCGTTTTCCTTGTTATATTTGACACTTGTGACGTCATGTATAATTGATCCATTTCTCTGTTGCCACCTATTGTTCTTGATAATCTATTTGAACTTAACCATTTTCTGGGGTCCTGTCCTACAATGGGCATAATCCAATTAGTTTCAAAAATTCTTAATTAGCAAAGGTGCCTGAACGTAAAGCTGGTTTAGATAACTTTGAAATCACAAGCAATGTTGTAATATTTCAATTTTTAGAAACAATATATAACATTAAAATAACATTATATTTTCTATCTCCTCCATTTCTCTTTGCTTTCCTTTAGTTCTAAATTGTTTTTGTTTCATTTTGTTTAATTTTATCTCTGCAAAAGGGCCTCTCATTCTAAACAGCAAAAGATAGAGAGGTCCTGGCTGTAATTGTTATTTATTAAAATATCTAGTCAAATATATCTATCTATCTATCTATCTATCTATCTATCTATCTATCTATCTATCTATCTATTTATCTATCTATCTATCTATCTATCTTGTGTAGGTCGTTTACCCCCTGGTTTGCTACCTGGCATGGACCGAAGTATGCTGGTCAGCTTACAGCAGCGCCACCTTGTACCCAATCTACCACACCTTACTCCTAACCTATACGAGCTCGCAGCTCTTACTCAGGAGTTGGATACCTTGGTGAGAACAAATACAACATTTTTATTAGATAAAGTGTGACCCATAACATTTTAGAATAAGAAGACGAGATTTAATCAATCTTATTTGTGTTCTATATTTGTACAATGCAATTAGTTCTACCACCAACATAAAAATGTTTTTTTTTCATGTTCAAAATCTTAACTTTAGTCTAACAGTCGTCTTCTCTTTCTACAATTTTATCAATAATCCTTAAAAAACTGAATTAACCAGAGCTAGAGGTTATGTACAAAGCCCCCTTTTTTGGTATAATAAACAAATATGCAAAGTTCATGCGTAATTTTGAAAGTCATGTTTTTAAATATTTTTGAAATTTTAAAGAGTAGAATTGTAAAAAAACAGTATTATTGCAATATGCTAACTATAATTCAAAGAAACGATACATGCCCGATTTTCAACTTAAAAACAATAATGTATTTAAAATGTATACAGTTCCTTTAACAAAAATATATTTAGAGTGTATACAGTCCCTTTAACAATAATATATTTAGAATGTGACCAACAAGATAAAGGAGACCCTACTCGCCAACAATACCGGGCAGAAACTGTTTGGTGAAGCTGTTCTTGGTCTATCCCAGGGATCAGTGAGCGAACTCTTGTCTAAACCTAAACCTTGGCATATGCTTAGTATTAAAGGACGGGAACCCTATGTAAGAATGCAGATGTGGTTAAATGATCCAACCAGTATTGATAAACTAATGGCCATTAAGAAGCTGCAAGAGGAAACCCGGAAAAGGAAACGAACCTATGACGAGTCATATTCCGGGAAATCGTCTCCCTCCGACCTTTCTGATATCTACAGCAATCCTGGATACGCCAATAGTCCAGATGATGGTATGAAGCGCATGAGGGAGAGCGGACTAGATCTCAGTTTTAAACGCGATGAAGAAGATATCGCCGAAGATATTGCCGAGGACGATCATCAGGACGATCTTGATACAGTATCTGAAGAAAACACCAAGCAGGTTGGACGATCAAGAAGAAAACCTCTGGCTCCCCAATGGTTAAATCCAGGTTGGGGCGAGGACGATGATAGAGCTGATCGTCCGGACACGTGGGAGGAAAGACGAGAGAACTGGGACGACGGAGAGAAGGACACAAGGACGATAAATGGTGTGTGCGTAGTCAATGCCGCGGTATTCAATAATGCCGAGCAAAGACGAACCTCTGAGCATTGAGAAATCAATTAATCAAGATAAACTGTGTTTATGAATCCCAGTGTGTAACCGGTCTAATTAGATTTAGTCTAGATTATAGGATAACTTGGAGTCAACAATCCCCCAGGAATCAAACCAAGAATTAGTGCCAAGGAACAACCCAGCAATCTCGGGTTCATTAGCAGCTAACAATCTCTAATTATGTAATTAATTCAATCTGATCAAATCAATTCAATCTGATCAAATCAATTCAAACTGATCAAGTCAATTTGATCAGAGCTCTCAGAAATTGATCAAATTAGATACAATACAAACAGTGTAATATCAGCATCAGTGTTAAATATTTAGCCGTGAAAGTGATCAATTCTCTCTTTTTTTGAACACATCTATGTGTTATTTACGAAACACCCTTTAGTATTGACCCAATATTTCTTCTCACCTGGCTGTGCATCAACTACAGGGTGACATGCAAGAATGTTTTATTTCGAAACTGCAATAGTTTTTTCTTTTTTATTACAACATGAAACTACAGCTTAAGCTCAAATTAAACAACAATTGAACATTTTTTGCCAATCTGTTTAGGACACCCTGTACTATATAAATATTTAGCTTATTGTATATTGTAATTCGTAGCTCCACCAAGTGGACACTTATTATGTGTGTGTTGGTCTCAAATTAAAGACTCAAACTGACCCCTTATACTGACCCTCAATTGTAATTGGTCAAAAAATTTCTATTTATAGTAAAAACTTGTTATTTTTTTTTCGTGTATTATACAACCGGTGCCAAGACCTGTGTTTTTTCTTATCGAGCATTGATCAGGCTCGATCAATTTAATCAATTTGATCAAATACCATTTTGCTTAAATTTTAGAGTTATTTTTTATGCCTGATGCTTGAATTAAAAGCCAATGATTAAAAAGTTAAAAATTAAATTTGTTTATCAGATCAATTATAATTAATCAATTAGATTGATTAGAATTGCTCTTCGGCTTGATTAGTTATGTTTGATTTCCTGAATTGTTATTATTTATCCAAAGCTTTAACTTGTTTTCATGGATCTCTGTTAGTTGGATCGTGGATCGTGATTGTTTTTGATTGGTTAACAATCTCTAATTGATTTCAATTGAATAATTGATTTTTTCAATTAATTGATAAGATTTTCTATCATTAAGCTGTCATCAATCAATCAATTAATCAACCAGTGTTACTTTTTTCTTACTTATTTCGGAATTGATTGATTGATTGGTTGATTGATTGGTTGTGTTAATCTGAGCGTTTATCTTAAATGTTGTTGTACAAATCTTTAAGAAAAGCCTTTTCCCGCTAGAAAAAATAAATTTTCATCAAACTAGAATCATCTTTTTTTTATTTGATTCTGAGATTATAATTAGGTGTTACAACGTTTCAATTAGGTATTACAACGTTACAATTAGTTGTTACAACGTTAAAATTAGCTGTTACAACATTACAATTAGCTGCTACAACGTTACAATTAGCTGCCACAACGTTTCATTTAGGTGTTACAACGTTACAATTAGTTGTTACAACGTTACAATTAGCTGTTACAACGTTACAATTAGTTGTTACAACGTTACAATTAGCTGTTACATCGTTAAAATTAGTTGTTACAACGTTACAATTAGGTGTTACAACGTTACAATTTTGTTCTGAAATCAAAACTTTTGATTATCCGAGGAGTAGTTAATTAATTACATTAAATTCTGTGAAATTCAAGTTTTAATTTAGAGTGTAGAGTACACAGACCCTGATCATATTCCCCACCATACTTCAAATAGATGGATAGATAGATAGATATATAGATAGATAGATAGATAGATAGATATATAGATAGATAGATAGATAGATAGATATATAGATAGATAGATAGATAGATAGATAGATAGATAGATAGATAGATAGATAGATAGATAGATAGAAAGATAGATAGATAGATAGATAGATAGATAGATAGATAGATAGATAGATAGATAGATAGATAGATAGATAGATAGATAGATAGATGGATTGATATAAGGTTACATAGATTTTTCAAATTCTAATTTTAATTTTCTAATATTACCAGGAAATCGGAGTTGGGTTTAGTAACAAGGGATATTATTAATCAGATATATATACACGGGCAGCCGTAGTACATTTAAATTTCCGAGCTGGGTCAATCTTTCCGGTCCCAGTTTGTACTGTATCACTCGCACATTGGGTAAATAAAGCAGACACTCAATTGGACTAACCAGTGCAAGAAGATTGACGCGTTCAGACTTTAGATTGAATTTACTTTTACTAAAGGGTCAGAGGTGCGTATATAGATTAGAGTTAGATCACCCCGGACTAACCAGAGTGAGCAGCATTCGATTTCTTCTATTTGAAATCAAACGTGTTTTGGTCTTTAATGCAAAACTCATTTACTTTACGGATTTGTTTATTCTATACAAATTCAAAATGCATAAGAGAATTTAAGAAAAAAGCTTACAAATTATGTTTAATGGGTCAAATTGTGATAGAAAGTCACAGCTTTCTGGAATATTGACAGAACCGTTAAATCCACGTGAGATACACATATTATAGATACATAGATAGATAAATAGAAAATTTATATTTAAAGAAAGATAAAAAGAATATGAATTTTTTAATGAATTTTGCTATTAGGTTTACAAAAAATAAGTCTATTGATCTCTTATCATCTTGCTAAAGTAAATAAGGTTGAAATCTTATATGTTTCAATTATAACTCCTCTTTCTGATATTTCACCATTTAATTTGCTTTTCTCATACGTACTTGCGTCAAACTTGTATGCGATTCCATTAGCGCCTGATCCAATCAGAGTTCAGTCATCTGTTTGTTGTCTATTCTGAACCAATAGAAATTGAATGACGTTAACATCTATCTTTCTATCTATCTCGTCATCGACTCAGAGTTATGAATCCTTCAATCAGCTTATCAGTAAATGGAAATATTTACTTCTACTGAAACTTTAGTGGCGAGCAAAAATCAAAACTATAGAAGAGCTGAGGGGTAACAAAATCGTACCAATGATGTCGAATAAAGGAATTGAGTCTTTGTCACAAAAAAAAATTTTCTTATCCCTTTATCTTCGCAACCTGATTGTGTAAACCATTGATATTTCTAACTTAGATTTTTTTATTTAACAGAATTTAAAGTTTGAAATATCTAAGGTCTACAACACTGGGTTGCTAAGGGATAGTTATTAGAAAATCAGAGTTTCTGACAAAAACTCAATTCCTTTGACCTTCTCCTTCAAATAAAATCAAATTATCTATATTTGGCACATTAATATTAAAACATTATCTAAATAATTGGTTTAACTATATAAACGAATAATATTAAATTTCTTATATGTAACCATACTTGTGGGTAAGAGGTCACAAAGTTGTACCAGTAATGTAACCGTACTTGTGGGTAAGAGGTCACAAAGTTGTACCAGTAATGTAACCGTACTTGTGGGTAAGAGGTCACAAAGTTGTACCAGTAATGTAACCGTACTTGTGGGTAAGAGGTCACAAAGTTGTACCAGTAATGTCTCATAAATTTAGTTTCTTATTTTCATTAAATTATCAATAAACAGACAAAATATTATTTGAAAAGCAAGGAACAAGGATGTATGAATATTAATAACTTTTGCGAAATTGACAAAAGTAAACACAATCTGCTGAATATTATCAAATGTCAACCTTCGATTCTATGAAAGATGTAAATAATTCCTATATTCCTATTTATCGATGTAAAACAAGAATTTGAAACATCGAATTTGGATATAAAAAACAGCTTTAAAATATTCACCAACTAATAAGACCGTGTTATTTTTGAAGTATGACAGACGTTTAAATTAAAGTGACCCTTCATTTAAACAATGACATGTAGAACAATGAAATATCTTCTTTATGCTATCTGAAACATAATTAGTCTTAATTCTATGTTTTCCTTAAAGTTTATTTAAAGAGCAAATTTTCTGATTTGAGCTGAATTTTTTTTTAAATATAATTTTAGATTTTGGTTCAAAGATTACCAAATAAAAAAATATGTGTTTACAAGATACTTCAATCATTGGCCTTAATTTTAACCCCAAAATGTTTTTTTAACTATCTAAAAACTTAAATTGAGTTGATCCATGATTCCTTGGAAAATGGTTGTTTGAACTACCACGTCAAGTATATATGTACTAGAAATTCAAGGCGCTTCGCGCCCTTCTTTCTAGCCTTAGAGGGCGCTTCGCGCCCATCTTCTAAATTTGTTGTGAACATGTTCTCTTTGTGTACATCGTAAAACAAAACAAAAATAATTCGCGGATTTTCACAAAAAATTTCGCGGATTTTCAAAATTTTTAAAAAATTAATGACGATTGAATTTTGATGGAGACAAATATTTGAAATTTTGATTTTTCTTAAACCTTCCCTGGGGTCCCTAGATGTCCCACAAAAAATTTGGGCCCGATCAGCCGTTTTGACGTTTATTGGATACAAACAAACAAACAGACAAACAGACAAACAGACAAACAGACAGACAGACAAGCCAAATTTATATATAGATAAATACAGTTGTTTAAAGAATTTTGACTATTGAGGATCTTCATGAGACGTAAAACATTGTGTTTAGTATAATTTTTTTTTAATGAAATATGGTGAAGTTTAAAAACTGAAATATATATAATATCTATATATAAATAAAATATATGGGTTTACATATTACTTGCTGGAGAGCCAGGCGTTGCCCGTGGAATTTTTAAAAAATCAAATATAAAAAAAAATTGGTATCACAATAATTTTTGAAAAGACAAAATTCAAATTTTGTTTGGCCCCGGGGTACCCATGAGTTTTTCTAAAAAAAATTTCAACCAATTTGATATATATAATGGTGAGTGCATATATGAAACGATTATATGGGTTTTATATATTATATTTTATATATATAATGATGAGTCCATATCTGTATTGACAAACGATTTCTTTTTCTTGCTTGGTGTTCCACATCCTTAGTTTTAGACAATACCATGATAATGTTTATATCTATTCATCTGTACATCATGTCCCTCCATCTATCTATCTATCTATCTATCTATATATCTATATATGTATCTATTTATCTATTCATCTGTACATCATGTCT